CATTGAGCACCTCAGCCTTCTCAATGTCCAACGTGATCAGATCACCTGTTGCCTTCCGGAGAGGGCCCACATTTTCCCTAGTTTTCCTTTTTTCCCCATTTCTTGTTGCCCTTGACGTCCCTGGCCAAATTTAATTCTGTCAGGGCCTTGGCTTTCCTAACCTGATCCCTGGCTTCTCGGGTAATTTCTCTGTATTCCTCCCAGGTTACCCGTCCTTCCTTCCACCCTCTATAGGCTTCTTTCTTGATCCTAAGTTTGTTCAGGATCTTCCTGTCCATCCATGCAGGCCTCCTGCTGGTTTTGCCCACCTTCCTCTTTGTTGGGATGCATCATTCCTGGGCTTGGAGGAAGAGATCTTTGAGTATGTTCCAACTATCCTGCACCCCTCTTCCTTCCAGGAATTCATCCCATGGTACATGACCAACCCCAGATTTTCCACCCCAGAGTTGAGATGTAGGAGTTTGCTTTGTCTGTCACTCCATCCATCCCCAGTGCAACGACAACCAGGAAGTCTGGCGAGAGGATAAACGCTGAAAGGGGAATTCAACCCTAGCCCAACACATTTTGAGACTGCCAAGCTGAGAAGTTTCTCCTTGCCTTTACAGGAGGCTGAAAGCTGGGTGAGTGTCCCAGTGTCAGGGGCTTTGCGACCAAGTGTCTCAAGGCAGAACTGGCATTTCTGGACCATCCAAAATTTGGTGGACTTGAACCACACAGGCCTGGAGCCACGCAACCAGAGCAGCTGGCAAGGAACCAAATTGCAAGAGGGAGTGAACAACATGGAGGAGTCTGGATGCAAAGAATCTGGAGAGAGAAGCAGGGAGATGGGAGTTAGGCTCATGGGTATTAGAGACAGGCTGAATCGTGCTCAGGCCCACAGGATAGGGAGCTGCAGGTGGTGCAGAGGCATCAGACCAATAAGTCTTGCATTCTGCTCCCAGTCCTATCCCCACCATTTCTGGCCTTACCACGGTGCCAGGCATTCCTCTGATTCATTCGTACTGCCACGCTCGATGTGAAGGGGGACGGGACCCCCAGGCTAAGGCTGGACTTAACTGCGCTGTGCTGGATGTCCTTCTCTGCCCTGCTTGTCTCCTCCCAGGCCAGTTTCCACAGCAGGTGCATCATGGCCATGCGGTGCACAGGCAGCCTGCAGGGACAGGGAGTTAGCCCCTGGTTCCCCCTTGGGGAGGGGCATGGGACACATGGAGTAAAGAGGAGGGGGCAGTGGGGCAGTGGTCACCCAGGTCCTCCCCCAAGGTCAAGGGAGAGAAGACAAGAGGTGAGCACTGGATGCCCGAATTCTCTTCCCACCTCAGTCTACAGTGGGAAGGATGCAAGCAAAGGACACCTGCTGTCCCTCCTCCAGACTTTGCCAATGCCACTCTGCCTTGTGGGCAAGTGTGTTACCCTCTCACCTGTCGTCTGCTGATGGGGACAGTGAGAACCGGAGTGTGGAAGAAAAAGACTGGCTGCCCACATGGTACTGAAGGGTCACGGCTCCCTCACCCACCTCTGGATCCTGGTGACACAAGGGAAAG